CAGCAGGGCTGCGTGCTGAGCGAGCGGGAGCTGGCGGCCCTGGTGCAGGGCACCCAGGGCTTCTCCGGGGGCGAGCTGGGGCAGCTGTGCCAGCAGGCGGCGGCCGGGGCGGGCCTCCCGGGGCTGCAGCGCCCCCTCTCCTACAAGGACTTGGAGGCGGCACTGGCCAAGGTGGGCCCCCGGGCCTCCCCCAAGGACCTGGACTCTTACGTGGAGTGGGACAAAATGTACGGCTTCGGACACTGAGAGCGCCCTGGGGAGGCCGCGGGAGCCGCCACCCCTCCCCACGGCCCTGGGAGGGACGTCTGGAACCCACCGGACTGGGAGGGTGCCGAGTGATGAATGTGGGAGGGAGAAAAGGGGCTGTTGGTGGATTTTTTTTTTTTTCCGTGGGAAGGAAAATGCTTCTGCTAGGCAGATAGATGCCATATGCGCTGTGTACTCAGGTTTTTTCTATTTATTGTGGACGGGAAGCTCGCCATCTCCGCTCCTGGATGGACAGACCCGGGATGGGCTGACACCTGGGGCCCAAGGAACTCCTGCTCTCTCGCCACAATCCTTTTGTCTCCTCGTTATCTGAATGACTCCTCCCTCTCCCCCCAACTCTCCCGTTTAGCTGCATTCGTCTAGTTTTCTCTCCCTGTCGCATTGTGACTGCCCTGCTAACCGCATCCTGGCCCTGTTTCTCTTTTGCTCCTCTCTCCGTCTGTCACCCTCTGCTCTGTCTTCATCCCTTGCTCTCTAGCCTCTGTGTCTCTTGGTCCTTCCCCCTACCTTCTGTCCCTCTCATTCAAAGACTGCAGGGTCCCTTTGCAGGAGATCTGGAGGTCCAGAGGCTGAGGAGGAGGGGATAGGGAGTTCCCTCCCACCCCATTACCCAGCTGAAACCTTGGGTCTGGGGGGAGGGCAAGCAAAAAACACCCAAAGAAGGGTTTTTTTGTTGTTGATGATTGTTTTTGAGGGGGAAATCCCAGAAATGTAGCTTGTTTAATATTTAGGCCTCTTATTTTTGTAAGATGTGTAGAACTTGCTGTTTTTCTTTTTCTTTTGACAACTCAGGAAGAAACTGACCTCAGAAAGAATGTTAACACTTTGGCTACTCTCCTGTATTTTCCCCACCACCCACCCCACTCCTCAGGGGAGCACATTCTCCCAGAAGACTTAGAAAGTGAGACTTGTGGGGAAGGGGAGAGGAGGACCCAGAGCCACACTGAGACCCCTGCTTTTCCTTGGGAGAGAAGCAGAATGTATTTGTAGGGCTTCCTCCCCAGTCCAAGGTTGTAGGCAGGGGTGTTGGGGAGTAGGTTGTGGGATTAGAGCAGGTAGATCTTGCTCCCTTTCTGCTGCTCTTCCAACTGGGCCCCACTCTAAGCGTAGTATTTTCTGTTAAGGGTTAACCAGGCTTGGGATGCCCACTTCCTGCCCCTGACCCAGAGTAGTCTGAGAGGGCCCAAATGGGTAAGTGACGTAGGCAAAAAGTCTCCAGAGAGGTCATCTCACCTGGCCATTGCCCAGGCAGAGGTCTTCTATAACTTAGGTTAAGGGGATTCCCTCTGGAGGGAAAGTTTGGCCGCAAGTCTGGTTGGGCACAAAACTGACTACAGACTCAACCTTCCCTGTCTGCTAGGAGGCTCTGAGGAGGGTTGAGTACGTGGGAAAGTGTTCCTCTCATTCTCCTAGGGTCCTAGGTCTTGAGGGCAGGGAGTGTGAAAGGGGCAGGCTGTTTTTCCGAACATTGGGGGTCTGTTCTCAGCCGTACCCATACTTTCCACCAGAAGCCGAGACTTCGTGGGCTTTCTTCTGAGAACCGTATTCCTCCTCTTCACACCAACTTCCCTTGATGGGCTTCAGCAGTGTGATACCTCCCCCTCAGGGAGCCCATTTCACAACTCTGACCTTTGGTCCAAAGTTGTGGGGAACAAGCCCTCGTCCCTAACCTCTTTTCTCTCCCACCCAACCTCCCTCTCTGTTCCCTGCCTACCCTTATAGCTACTACAGTCTCTGTACCACCTCCCACTCCCAGCTGGAAGAGTGTCCAGGGGGAACATTTCAGGTGCCAAGGTGCTGAGGGCCTGTACTGTACTGGTCTAGCAGTGTTAACAGGAAAGCTGCTCTGTGTTTTCCCCCTTTTCCCCCTTGGTCTCTTTCTGGCCTTCCTCTCCTTGGAGCTGGCTCTTTGCAGGAATTTGATGCCTCAGAAGCAGTGGGGTGGGGTGCAGGGTCTTGGCTGTGAAAGGCCCTTGGAGTGAGGAGTGAGGTTCTCTCAGGTGTGTGTATGTATATTGTGGGGGAGGGCATCAGGGAAGTGGGGTTGGGATCCCTTCCCTTCAAGAGGCAGGCAGCTCTGGGAGTTGGGGTGGGGGAGCTTACTGATTGAGACCCGGCACCTCCTCTACTGGCCTTGGGGAACTTTGCACAAGGAGACATCCCCCAGTCTACTAGCACCTACCTCATGGGCGCTGGGGCAGGTAGGGAAGGGCAGGTGCAGCTCTGGCAATGTTGGGGGGGCATACCAAAGAATCCAGGGGCAGGGGTTGGGAGAGGGCAGACTCAGCAAGCTGGCCCTCTCCTTCCTCTGCCCAGATTGGGGTTGGGGTCCTCTCCTCCAGCTGTAACCATTTCTACCTCATTTTGCTGCGTATTGTACATGGACGTATTTATCTCCTGTCTGATGATGCTCTGCAGTTGTGGTCTGTCTACCTCAGAAGAGACTGTATTTTAAAAGAAAGTATTACACAGTATTAAAGTGATGCCATGTGGTTTCCAGAGGATTTCTTGGGGGTAGCAGGGTGTGGGGAGCCCTCTGGGTATGCATGGGCACCCAGGTCCATCAGTGCCATTGGTGGGACACTGTGGGTGTTTTATTCCTTGAGCAAAACATTGTGAAACCCCTGTTATTCAGTCTGGCACAAGAGGTGCCCAACAGGTGCTGAGCCCTGAGGCTCAGGTGAAAGGCCACACTCTCAGGCTCTGAGAAGCACTGTATTGGGAAGGCCCTCATGCAATTCTGAGCTCTCAGAGGCTCAGAATGGGGCCTGACTCATTGTATCCCCAGAGCTCTGAAGTATGAGGAGTAAAGAAAGGCTCCCATGTTTGTGGAATGAGTGAGTGAATGAGTAAGTGAATGCATGGAGGAAAGGGGACAGAAGAGGAAGGTTCACCCACAACCTGGACAGCAGCCCTTGATGGCTACAGTGATTATACTTGTATTCCATTCTTGGATGGAGGGAAAGGGCAGAGAGCAGGGTGTGGATACAACCAAGTTCTGGTCTTTAAGGTCACAGGATTCCTTTTCTGCCACCATTTGTCAATCCCCAAACTATCTTTGACAACTTATCATAAACTGGGAGACTGATAAAAGTAGGAAGGAGCATCTTGCTGTAAAAGCTCTGTGGAGATAGCCATGAGAGGTTTAGACTCACAGCTTCCTGAGGTCCTTGACAAATGCTCTAAAATTATTGAAAATGCACCAGAGTGCAAGGGGAGTACTGCACCCAGGGCTCAGGGCTTAATATGTACACCAGGCCTTCAGGAGGCAAAGCAAACAGTTTCCCCTCAGAAACATCTGAAGGTGTGCCTGGACATGGGGCTTCCAGGGCATTGCCCCAGGGCTCAGCGACCCCAACTCTCCTTGGGGCCATGGGTGTCCCCTTTCCTCTCTAGTTGGTGTATTTTACACCTACTCTGTGCAGACACTGTGTGGTACTGAGAATACAGAAATAATTAAGCACAGCCACTGTTCTGGAGCTCACAATACAGGGTAGGGAGAGCTGAAAACTGGAAAATTTGAAAATACATCTGCATAAAGCTGCTTGAGGAGGGACCATCTCAAAATTTTTATTCTCACATCTGGCACAATATTTGGTACATAGAAGACACTGGATAAATCTTTGAATTAATTTCCAGATAAGTGTCTTGATGTAGGAGGCACAGTCTATCTCAAGAATGCCCAGAAAAGACCCTGACTCGTGGTGGTGGTGGGGTTTCAGAAAAACTTCATGGTCAGGAAGGGGCACAGCATACAGAGCTATGGAGGCTGGCAGCTGCACCATACATGTGATTTGTTCTAAGAGCATAAGGTGAGGGCGGGAGTTGGGGGAAGTGAGGCTGGAGGAATTGCTGGGATGGAACCACTGCACCATGAGGACCTTCCATGCCCTGTGAAGAGCTGAGGCTCCAGGATGAACCTAGTGTGTGTGGGGGTGAGTGGGATCCGACTGATTTGAAAGTTAAGAATTCACACACTGATTCAAGAAATCTTTACTAAATACCCACTAGTTGCTATGGGGACAATAGATGGACTTTACTGTCTAATCGGGGAGACAATAAAAAGGCAGAGCTGTGGGACTAGATAGGATGGAGTCAGGGAGGGCTTTCCAGAAAAGACCTGTGAGCTGAGTGACCCAGACAGAAACAAAGAGCGCAGGTCAAGATCCAAAGGAGGGCCAGAGCCAAGCTTGCTTGGGGAATGGAAACAAGTTCAGCGAGTGGGGCCCAGTGTGTGTGTGGAGGGAGGTGGGGACTGGAGGAGCCTACCTTACCCAGGCAAGAGAGGGTGAGGGTTTGGATGCCCATATGGGAGGATGGGAAATGACAGCCTATAAATATTTAGTATTTAGCTGGTAAGAGAATTTAGGTATTGATTGGGTATCAGACATAATGGAGAGCTAGGGGTCTAGGCTTCTGGTGGATGAGGAGGGGCAGTAAATGGGTTAGAAGGGATACTGGAGACTTGCTGAATTTTTGGCATTAGTGGGACAAGCAGGCTGCTAGCCGCCGCTGCGGGTCTCAGGGGAACTGGGTCCCACCCACCCAGGGGTACTGGGAAAGCCCAATGCCCGGGTTCTGTGAGACCCTCCTCCATTTCTGTGCTGGGAGATGATCCTCCAGCCAGTCGCGTGTACTGGAGGCCCCTTTCCACGTGCCTGGGTGCTGGGCTCCTCGCCCCAGTCGCTGAGGGTGGGCAGCCCGCTCTGTCCCATCATCCCTGGGGGTAGCGCCCCGCCCCCACCCGTGGGCATTCGGAGCCCCTCCCCCACGGCCGCGGGGTTCGCCTCACCGCGGGCGATGGCGGCGCAGGCTCCAGGCGGGGCCCTAGGCCTGGCGCTGGCGCTCTGCGGCTGG